ACACACACACACATAGAGACACACAGAGACATAAACACGCACAGACACACATACACACGCACACACACACATAGAGACACACAGAGACAAACATGCACAGACACACACACACACACACACACACACACACACACACACACACACGAGACAAAGGACAGAGAAAAGAGGTCACCTAGCAGCGAAGACGGGCCAGGGAGACGTCCCAGTGGATAAGGCTCTTGCCGTACAAGCGTGAGGACCTGCGTTTGAATTCCGGACACTCAGGCACGCAGATCCAGTCTGTCATCTGTTGAAAGGCAGAGGTAGCAGGGCTCACTATCCAGGCAGAGGAGCCAACGAGTGAGTTCCGGGATTAGTGAGAGACTCTGTCTCAACAACAAGTCTGAGAGTGACGGAAGAAGACAGCATTGACCTCTGGCCTCCCGCGTATTCACACACTACATACTTTGGCCTCCGTCCACAGACACGGGCAGTGGCAGACATACCTGGGAAAAAGGAAGGAGAGAGGGACTTACTGACAGATGTATGAACATGGTCCTAACTGGGAACCCCCATTGAGACTCACATGATCCAGAAAACTGTTGAGAAATGTGCATGAACAAAAGCACCCCTTTTATAATATAAACTGACAGGGAGAGACTTCGCACCTAAGGAGAGGAGGCACCGCGAGTCTGCACACCCTGTGACAAGGAGGCTGGGAAACTGTTCCACACCTGCATGTAACCTTTCACCCCGAAGAGCAAGATGGCCCAAGGGGGCAGAGGAAGCAGGGGCTCAGGGGCAAGGTCATCATTTAGCCCTCAAGAGCAACCGAGAAATTTCTCGTATTTGCTTAGCTGGACTTGAGAACACCTTCAGGCCAGTGACTCATTTTGTTTTCAGGGTGGCTGTGCCCTGCCTGGGACACCACTGCCCACGAGGCACAAGGCAGAGAGCTGATCACTTTAGTATCGTGGGCACAAAGGTCTCTGTCTGTATCCCAGAGACAGCAAACTTGGAGATGCTTGACCCATGCTTGGGAGGAAAGGGAAAGAGAGATGTAGCTGAAGGAGCGTTGGAGTCCGCTCCTGCTGTTACTAAATCCCATCAACTGGAGTGGGTAGGGGGGCTATGAGCAACATGAACCCCCTCTAACAGTCTGGAAGGTGCTGGCAGATGCAGCGTCTGGAGAGAGCTTGCCCTCGGTTCACAGGGCTGCCTTGTGGTGTGCTCACGTGATGGAAGAGGCGAGGCAGCTGGAGGTCTCTAGGGCACTAACCCCATTCAGGAGGTTCCACCTCATGACTTCATCACCTCAAGGAGGCTCCACCTTCCGGTACCACCACTAGGTTTTCAACATGAATTTGGGGGTGACACAAATATACTGCAAAAAGGAAATAATGGGCTAAATTTGGGGGTGGCAAAACATTCAAACTGTAGCAAGGGGGTACAGTTTTTGGTTTTTGTTTTGTTTTTGTTTTTGTTTTTGTTTTTTCTTTTTCGAGGCAGGGTTTCTCTGTGTAGCTTTGCGCCTTTCCTGGAAATCTCTTTGGAGACCAGGCTGGCCTCGAACTCACAAAGATCCTCCTGCCTCTGCCTCCCGAGTGCTGGGATTAAAGGCGTGCGCCACCATCGCCCGGCGGGGGTACAGTTTTTAACAAGCTCTTTTTAGCATTTTATGGAGTATGTGGCTGTAGTATGACCTAAGAATGGATGAAAAGGGGGAGCAGACCCCACCTCTGAGTACAAATGTTATATCCCATTAATCTCCCCCATACTTTCTCCCGTGTGCCTCACCATGCCTCAAATTCAACATCTCTATGGCCAAGCCACCCAGCATCTCCCAGCTTAGAGAACAAAATGCCCTATCCAGCACCATGAAGCAAAACTCTAGGCCTCACCCTGACACCCTCCTCTTCCTCACTATTATTATCTGACTCTCTGGGCTCAGAGCACCTCCCTTCCTAAACAGTTCTGACATCAGCCTATCTCTACCCACTTCACCACCCACCACTACCAGCCTGGTCTACATGACCAGGGTCCAGTGGACTCCAGCAGTAACCAAACCGGGGCCTCTCCCAGGCATCACGGCCACTCCTGTGGTCAGAGGCTCTTTCCGTGGAGCAGATCCCATTGTGACTCCTGTGGCCATCCAAACTGTCACGTGGGTTCTCCAAAGGCTCACAAAGCACTGACATGACCAAGGATGCTCTGTGGCCTCTCTTACTGGCCAATGGGACCTCCCCTGTTCCTCTGCCTCTGGCACACTCACTACCTCTTTGGCCCCTCAAGATGCCAGTGCATGTCCCCATAGGCATCTTCACATCTGCCCCTTCCTCAGTACCTACTCCCAGATGTCATATGTCAGTCCAGCACAGCTTCCCAGAGAAGCCCTCTAACGAGTCGGGAGGGATGGCCGGCCCACTAGCTAGCAGTCTTTGTTCAGAAACCCCTGTTAAACCTCAAGAGAGCAGTAGCCAGTTCTCAGCAAGGACCAATAAGTACATGCAGGCCCAAGAAATCCCTGTTGAGAGCAAATGAACTCCTTTCTCCTTTGAGACAGGCCTGGGCGACATGCTTTCTTGGTTTCCCTCTACAAAGCCAGAGAAATGAAGGGAAATAGTCTGTCACAGAGCCCAGGGCAGGCGCCTCTCCCTGTGGAAGAAGAGGAGGTTCTGTTCGCAACTGATTAATGAGGCAAAAAGAAGCCATGGGGAATGCACGTATTACCTTGAGAACTCTGTCACCAAAAAAAAAAAAAAAAAAAAAGGAGAAATAAAGTGCTGGGCAGCGTGGGCAAGTCTGCTCTCCCACCCCCACGCAGCCGCTCTCTTCCTGTTCGGTAGCTAACACGTTCCTTAAGTACTTCCCAAGGAAACAGCCCAAGCGGTCTTTCCCACAGATTTGAAAATTCCTTATAATAAAAATGTCAAGGGTGAAATAAGACAATGCATTTTCCCAGCCCTACATCAGGCCAAATTACATATAAGAGCCAACATCTGAACAATAAAACTCAGAATGAGGCTCACCTTTAACTGGCTGGAACCCTGGCTGAGGTCGGGATTAAATCGCTCAGAGGTTGAAGTGAAATTTTTCATTTCCCAAGGCTTTTTCAGGCACGAGGCACAAATCTCCTTGGCCCCTTCCCAGCCTCCTCCCTGCCTCCTTCCATCCTGCCCTGCTTGACCCCTGTAGCCTGCAGCTAGACCCTACAAACCCTGGAGAGACACTGGTGGCTGACTGCTGAGAAACCATCTTGACCTTGTGGCTGTTCCTAACCACTCCGTCAGAGGACAAGAGGAGTCCTTCCTTCCTTGCTCTTGGCTGGGCAGGGGAGGGTTGCCATGGGGGATGTCCCAGACTGCAATTTTAAGGGCCTTTGGGGAGAATGTTGGTGGTAGAGTTGCAGGTGATAGACAGAATCTCTCTGATGTGCTCGTCCACAAGATCTCATGCTCTTACCCAGGACAATCAGATTCAAATTCCCAACTCTAACCTAATACTCAGAGTAAATCCCATTTCCCGTATTGCCTTCTTTTTCCTACCGATTTTTTCCATCACAGACAAGAACGGGATGTCAAAGCAACACAGAGTCACCCTGCAGAGACACCGGTCCTTCTCCTTGGGCTCCAAAGAAGGAAAACAGCACCCAGAGCAGAGACCCAGGCAGCCCCACACTTGAAGCCTTCTCTGCCTGACAGGTTCTCCGTCCACAGTGAGACTCACCTTACACAGAACAGTGTGGCAGCCCCTCCCACACAAGGCCCTTCAGGACTTCAGCAGTGAGGCCAGGTCCTCCTGGCCTCTCCTCCTCCTTGCCCACCTGGCTCTGGAGACCACTGCTTTGGTTTTCATCCCGGACTCTCTGGAGATTGACAGACAAAGCTTGAAGTCAATGGACCTCTAAGTATCACTGGCAGGGCAGCATTGGTCACAGGGCTCCCTCTGAACAAGACAAAGGAGTTCTACCAGTCCCATAGCCAGGGTGATGTCAGAGAGGGCCATGCAGTCATGAAGCATTCTTCTCTGTCAGACGGAGGCCCAGGATGCCAACTCCCTCCTAAGCAATGAAGCATCAGAGGAAGCTTGCTAAACTAGAGCAAGATCAGGATACCCAAATACAGCTGGAAAGCACTCATCACACCAAGAAACAGAAACATCCTGGCTTGAGCCAGAAGAAGTCAATAAACAATGACATAGAAATTAGTGGTGAGGATTCTAGGGTAGCCATCATCAAAACGCTCCCACAAGGAGCTAGAAACACACTGGGAACTTATGAACTAGAAAGTCTCATCAAAGGGATAGAATCTATGCCGGGCGGTGGTGGCGCACGCCTTTAATCCCAGCACTCGGGAGGCAGAGCCAGATGGATCTCTGTGAGTTCGAGGCCAGCCTGGTCTACAGAGGCTGTAGATCCAGGACAGGCACCAAAACTACACAGAGAAACCTTATCTCGGAAAACCCAAGGGGGAAAAAAAGAGGTAGAATCTAAGAAAAGGGGAAAAAAAGGAAACATTGCAACTGGAAAAACACAGTACCAAAATAAAGTGGAAAACTCGCTGGATGGGCTCCCCCAAGGACTGAACGCAGAGGAAAGAAGTGAATAGAGAAGAGAGATCACACATAGCCCACTACGAGCAAGAGCAGGCATCCGTGGCCAGGGCACTCACAGAACTCGGAGGCCTGTGAGGCCATAACCAGGAACGCCACACTTCATTCCCTCCGCTTCATTCGTTCGGTTCTGGGAGAGAAGGGAGTGAGGAAGAGATTGAAAAAACATGCCAAGAAAGAAGCAGCTGAAATTTCCAGAGACGGACCAAAAAGGGGGTTGGGGGCACAAGTCCGCTGCCCAAACCTCACCTCTGACTAAAAGCCAACAGGAAAAGCTGCTGCATGGCTGCAGTTTGGCAGTTCCAGGTCACTGTCCATTGTTGAAGGAATGAAGTTCCAGCCATGCGAGAATGAAGACCTGGGTTCAGATCCCAAGTTCCCACTAACGGCCAGCTGCTGTAACAATGAGCCCCCTAGCACTGGGGAGGTGGACACAGGAGAATTGCTGGAGTTCATCGGGCAGTCGGTATAGCCGGATTGATGAGCTTCAAGGTCAGCGAGAGACCCTGTTTCGAAAATAAAGGTAGGAGGGTTGGAGAGATGGCTCCCAAGTTGAGAGCACTGGCTGCTCCTCCAGAGGACCTGGGTTCGATTCCTAGCACCCACATGGTGGCTAACTGCAGTCTCAGGGGATCCTATACTCTCTTCTAACCCCCTCAGGCACCAGACATGCATGCGGGACACAGACAGACATGCAGACACCCATAACACATGAAGTAAGTAAATAATTCAAAAAATTAAAAATAAAGGTAAAGAGAGGAATACATTCGGTGTTGACCTCTGGCCTCCATGCACACATGCGCACATAAGATACTAACAAGTACATTCAACACACACACACACACACACACACACACACACACACACACACACATACAAACACTTTTTTAAAGAAAGGAAACAAGCAAACGGGAAATCAAGACCCTCTCGTGGTAGGGCATCTTGGAGTGACAGGAAGAAAATGACCAGAAGAATAAAAATACCAATGAGCGCTGGAGAGATGACCCAACAGTTAGCAGCACTTACTGCTCTCCCAAAAGACTTGGGTTTGGTTCCCAGCACCCACATAGTGGCTTACAACCACTTGTAACTCTAATTTCAGGGGATCCCATGCCTTCTTCTGACCTCCATAGACTCCTGCACATACGTGGTACACATACAGACACTCATACACATAAAATCATTTTTTTAAATCAGTCAATACAATAACCCAGGCTTTAGGGAAGTTTATGCTAAACGTTCATGTTTTCAGACTTGAAAACCATCTCGAGGTTCCCGTTGGCAGAGAGGGAGCAGCTGGGGAATTGCTGAGTCTTCATTAGGTTGTTTGAAGCTCATTTAGAAGAGGCTCATTCAGTCTCATTAGGAAAAACAACTTCATCTGATCACTCTGCTTTTCAAAATATTCCCCCATCCTTATTTATAAGTTAGATTTCCCACAGAGAGCATCATATACTCATAAAACTTGGAATTTCAGTCTCACACTTATGCCAAATGGAGTTGCCAGGTTTAGCCAATAAAAATATAAGAGGCTCGATTATTCTGTTTAAATATTGCATGGGCACAGTCATGATAAAACCGTTCACTGTTAACTTGATACTCACTGAGTGAACATCCTGTACACTGGGTGTCCATCGGCTGGCAGCCACGTGGGATGCAAGTCTCTCAGAGTCTGTAACAGAGGGGTTCCTTCCAGTCAAAGAAACAACTGAGAACCCCACCCTTCCAAGAACCTGCCAAGGGACCCCCACATTCCAAGTCATCAGTCCTGGCAATTAGCACAACCATCCTCAGAAGTATCCCAAGGTCTTGGTGCACTAGTAGACTGGAGGATGGCTCTCAGGGTTTCACACGATGCAACCTAAGACCCAGTGGGATGCTATAAGAGGTGATTAGGGCTTGAGAGATCCATCCTTATAAATGGGCTTGTGGGAACTAGCCTGAGTCTGCTGCCCTTCTGTCCCTTCTACCATATGAAGATACAACACCCGAAGTGCCATCATAGAAGCGGGGACCAGGCCCTCCACAGACTCCAGAACTGCTGGTGCCTTGATCTTGGATTTCTCCGCCACTCCAACCCTGGGAAATATACTTCCACTTATTTGTTATAACAGTGGAGACAGCATAAGACACTTGCATGACGATGCTCGGGGGCTTTTTCAGTTTTAATTCATACGTGGGTAATACAGATCTGGTCCTTGTGGTCTCTGAGGGGAAATGAAAGATTTAAGTGTCAGGCAGAGACAGACTGAGTGCCTATCCAAGTGACCCTGGCACGTCTCTGTAACCAGGCCACTGTCCCACACATGTTCACACTACACTCATCCCAGCCCCTCGAGGCAGGGGAGTGGCCAATGTACATTCCAGCCATATAACAAACATTCGAGGTGAGACTTGGTCAGGATCACGGGCCTCTCAGAGCACTGAAAACAGCAGTCACCAACACACAGGGGTGCATAGACAAGGGAGTAGCCCCAAGGGAGGCTAGGGGAGAGGAAGGCAAGCAGCCAAGGATGCATTTGCTAGGGCAGGGCAAGATGCCTTCCCAAGTGACAGCAGCGATGGATGAGAAGTGGGAGAAAGCTGGATTTGGCAGGACTCGCCCGAAAAGCTTCTCAATGAAAATACAGCTTGTTCTCACACACCTGGAATTCCCATTGCATTTCACAAGCCCTGAAATCCGAGCTCTTGGTTAGAGCAAGACCCCTCCCAGCTGGCCCCAGGGTCTCCTGAACTGAGCTCAGAGTCCACAGCTCACCGCAGCTTGGCTCAAGACCATAGTCACTCCTTCCGAAACAGCATGGACAGCCTACTTGGGATTTCAAAAGCATAAATGCACATTTTCCATGAGCCCCTTATCAGGCTGCTGGGTGTGAAGCCAGAACTTAGATCCAGGAGCTGGGAGAGAAGTCACCAAAGGAACCTCCGTGGCCAGGATAGGACAACAGCTCTCCATGGCCTTGGCAGAGGGTCCTCCAGAAACAGGTTCAACCTACAAAAGAAATTCACTCTTGTCAGAGCATATCATTCACTCATTTACTTATTCATTCATTCATCCAGCATTTATGAAGCACCTACAGTATGCTGGCTCTGTAGGGGTTAGCGAGGAACACAGGAAGGGAATGGGTTGCCCCCTCTCTGACTACGGGCACAGGCTTCTGTGAGGAGCACCAGCCACTAAAAAGTCCCAAAGAATAGCTTCCTCTTCTGCTCAAGGGCATTGCTATGGTCCAGGCACCAGAGGACAGGGCCTAGTGTGGAAACAATCTGGACATGTCCAACACCATCATACCAATGGAGTATGACCACAGCCAGCGGCATCTCTGCCCCACCCTGAGCATCCACGTCCACAGAGAAGGTAAAACCAAGCTGGATTCCACGGGCCACTCGGAGCCAAAGAAAACCTCAAATCAGGGCCAGTCACGATCTCCACCACCACTGCCGCCACTGTGCCATCCCAAAGCTCAATCTAAAGGGAAGGTAGTATTCTGCCTTCTGTCTCTGGGAAGCTTGTGCCTGCAGGTTGGCCTGTGAGGAGCCAGATGACAGACAGAGCAGAGACTGGCAGGGGCAGGAGGGGCATCCTTAGTCTAAAAGCAGTGTAACCTGGTTCAGGGTCCCTCATCCAAAGTGCTTGGAGCCAGAAATGCTGCAGACTTTAGATTTTTTTTCCCCTTTGGGTAATATTTACATAGAAATAATGAGAAGGTATCTTGGAAATGGGGTCCAAGTCTAAATATAAAATTTATTTATGTCCCATAAACACACACACACATTTGTGTGTGTGTGTGTGTGTGTGTGTGTGTGTGTGTACATAATCTAAAGGTAATCTTAGGCAATATTTTTAAGAACTATATGCAAGAAGCAAAGTAACAAGCTTTTATGACATGGAAATTCTAAATTTGTGGTGTTGGGTCAATGAAAAAAAAAAAAAAAAAAGCTCCAGATGTGGGAGCATTTGGATGTTGGATTTTCACATCAGGAATGCTGGTTTGTAGCTCCAAAGGAGAAGTGAAGAGGAACTGCTGGCCTCAGAACATGGAGAGCAGGTGATCCTTGCCAGCAGCCTGGAGTTCAGAGATCAAACCGCAGGCCTGTGGGGACTATAGAACTGGAGGTTTCTATAATTGGTGCTCAGGGGGTCACATGTGCACTTTGGCTTTCTATGGGAAACCAAGATCAGAATCAGGAGCCAGTAAGTCTTTGAGACCTTCATTCTGTCAGGCCTTGATCCCCTCCAATCTCACCAGGAAGGACCAAGTGCTTCCGAGTCACTGTGGCATCATCTCCCCTGATCTGTCATAGCCCTACATGACAGTGAGCCACACAGGAAAGGGCCTTCATGGCACCACCATGCAGAGTAGGGAGTCACCAACAGACATCCAGCGCCACTGTCCGCATTCTGCACTCCTTCGTGTCAGGGAGCCCTGAACAGTGAATGGCACATCCCTCTGTCATGGTGTTCAGTGAAGCCTCTACCAACACAGGCACCCTGGATACTTGAACCATGGGCCACACACTCCACTGAACATTGGACCTGCACCGTTGTTAATCCTTCCCAACACACCACAAAGGGCAGTTGGCCACCCACATCCGTGGGTGCTGCATACACAAATTCAACCAACCATGGATCAAAAATACAGGAAATAAAACTTCATCTGTGCTGAACAGCAAGGAAACATTTCTCTTGTCATTTCTCCCTAAGCAATAGAGTGTAACAACCATGGGGCCATTTGCATTATATTAAGTATTTAGGTGTCGTAACTAATCTGTAGGTGATTTTAAAGATTATGGAGGCATGCATGTAAGCTACATGCAGATACACAGATACAATGGCCTTCTCGTCTAGGCATGATGGTGCATACCCATGATCTCAGCATGCAGGAGGCAGAAGCAGAAAAATTGCCATAAATTTGAGGCCAACCTGGTCCCTAGCTTATGCCAGTCCAGCCAGGGTTATATGGTGAGACTCTGTCTTTTAAAGTTAAAAAATAAATGGATAAAAATTACCCCTTTTATATCAAGACTTGAACAACCTGGAGGTTTGGTTTCCTAGTTTGGGGGTCCTGAACCCAATCCCCCATAGATCCAGAGGGGTGGCCTTACATCACCCTGAAGGCCTAGCTTATAGCTGCAGGGACAAGTTCGGGTGTCCCACTGCTCTTCCAAGCCCCACCCACACTGGTGTTTGAAACCCTAGTCTCAAAGCCTAGCTTGAAAGCCCTGGCTCAGCACCAACCTCAGATAGCCATGTTGTCTTACTTAGGGTTTCTATCGCTGTGAAAGGACACCATGAGCACGGCAACTCTTATAAGGGAAAACATTTAACTGAGGTGGAGGCTTACAGAATCAGAGGTTCAGTCTATTCTCACCATGGTGGTGTGCAGGCAGACATGGTGCTGGCTACATGTTGATCAGGAGGCAACAGCAAGTGGACTCTGACATTGAGTGAAGCTTAAGCAAAAGAGAACTCGAAGTCTGCACCCACAGTGACACACTTCCTTCAACAAGACCACACCTCCCAATAGTGCCACTCTCTATGGGCTTTTGGGGGCCAGTTACATTCAAATTACCACACATATGTATGGTGAAGCCAGGCAGAAGCTGCTCACCTCTTTCCCGTGTGTGTGTGTGTGTGTGTGTGTGTGTGTGTGTGTGTGTGTCCCCTCTCTCTCCTCTCTCTATTTCTACACTGTCTTCCGATATAGCCCAGGCTAGCCTAGAGGTATGTGTTCCTCCTGCCTCATGCCCACAAGTGCTAGGGTTCCCAGCATGAGATACCACATCTGGCTCCCGCCCAGTTTTCTTAACTACCCCCCTCAGATGAGCCGGTTTGCATTCCACTTTGCAGATAAAAAAAAAAAAAAAAAAAAACCCTGCAGATCTTCCTTGAAGATCCTCCTGAAGCTTACCACACAAAGCCAAACAAGGGAATGGTCAAGTCAGAACTGAAACCTAGCAATCCAGTCTCAGAGCCGGCTCCAAACTCAGGGCTCAGGGATGGAGCTGGGATCCGTTAACCAGCCTGCAAGTCTGGCTGTGCCCCAGCAGGGGCATCGATAGGTTGTGGATTTTTGTTTTAACTCAAGGACAGTTCTACTGGGGTCTGGGAGAGAAAGCACTGGGGAAAGCAAGCCGAGACGATCTCAGCAGCTGCTAGAAGATGGAGATAACGCTGTGAAGCAGACACTCCCACCCGGGGCCTCACAAGTGCAGGACTCCACAGCCAAGGCAGGCTGGCTTCTCGGAGGAATGGACATGGAGATGGTTTCTGGGGGTAAATGCATCTTTTGGAGTGTCCCGGGACCCAGTCTGTGGGAGAGGAAAAGATACAGAAGCAAGAAATGGACCTCAGTGCAGGCTGGTCCATGGAAAACACAAACACTAGTCCAACAACTGGAAGTAGCGGTGTGGTTTGTGTAACCGACCAAGATGAGATCCCTGATGTCCAGAAGACCTGCACCTGGTACAGCGTCCTACAGAGTTGCTCATCGTCGTCATCAGCAACCGAAAGCAGGAAGGGACAGAGAACACGGCCATAGCTTGGCCCAGCGTTCCTAGTGACATGCTATCAGGGCCACAGCTCAGCGAGTGTGCCATGAAGGAAGAACCGTCTTTCTTGGTGGAGAGCCAGCTGGCACTGTATATGCCCACTATGGTCCCAATGCATCGTGTTTAGTATGCTGCTAACCCCTCTAACCACCTGTGCTTAGCAGTGAGCTGGGCCAGTGTGAGTTTCCTATCCTTTCTTAAGCATCAAGGATGCACCAACTTAACATGAGTTTTCTGGCACCGATTGCCAGCATACTTCTTTGCTTTAACTCCACTTTGCTTTGTCCTGCTGCCGTGCTGGATTCTTCCCTTGGCTGCTGCCTCAAGTTTAGGCTCTGTCCGCCAGCAGAGGTCGCCAGAGTAACACTGGAGAAGGACGTACCATCTTTTTCCTGGCTCTGATTTACCCAGTCTTCCTCAGTCCATCCACTTGGCCATGGTTACAGAGCCTCAACCCAGTGGGGGGGGGGGGCTCACCTACCAGTGAGTTTAGAGTCAACTCAGCTGGCTTCCCCAGGAGGACTCAGAGACACCCAGAGAATACTACAGACACCTCAAACTGCCTCCATAAAGGGCTTCTTAGCAGCTGACCAGTGAGTCCAGCTGTGCGTGCAGGCTTCTTAGCAAGGTTAACAGTATCACCGGTCCCCACAGGTACCCACAAGGTGTGCTGGGGGAGGGCTCTGTCCCTAGGGCAGCTCAGTTCCTTGCTTCTTCATTCTTGCCTAATAAACACAGACCATCTCCTACCAGGAAAACGTCTCTGGTTTCTGTTGAGCTAAAACCACACATGACCTCTCCATTAGGGTCCCCACTCGTGTCTTAGGAAGGGCTTCGTCCCCTGCCAGCTCACCCACTTCCTTGGGTACCCTTCCTGAGGGTATTCTTTAGAACTATCCCATCTCCACAGGAAGTTACAGGTTCTCTCAAGCCTTCCTTGCTCCTATGAGGGCAGTTATGGTGACATGGAATTAGTACCAGAGATGGAGATGGGCTCCCAAGGATGGGTTTTGAGACTGATCTGTGGTCATACTTGTGAGCTTATGCAGGGCTCAGCTCACAGCCAGTGAAAAACAGGATGCCTGTGCTCAGAACTGACTGCTGCTCACTAGCATCAGAGCAAGCTGTCACCTTCGAGGACTGTGACAAAGCCACCTGAAGCAAGGGCCTTGGGGGCCCCAATAGCTGCTGGGCCAGTCCTATCACAATGGTAATGACCACAGGGGCTGCAGTTCGAGACAGGATCCCAGAGGGCACTAGGAGCCGGCAGAGAGGAATGACAAATAGGTTTGGAACCCAGCACAAAATGGTGAGGCAGTGAGAACAGAAGAGCTCTCGCACACATGCATACACACACACGCACGCACGCACGCACGCACGCACGCACGCACGCACGCACAGGTGGCTAGTCTGAGATTCAGAAAATACCTAATTGCTTTGGCTATGAACAGTGCTGCATTCACAGCTTTATCAGTCTCCCAGCAAGGCCAGGGCATTGCCAGGGCAAGGGTGGAACCACAAAACTGGGAGCAGAGATCGTTGTGGGCCCAGGAGAAACTTAAATCCCGAGTCATTTTGAGTCTCCACTGCTATGAGCCGTGTGACTTCCTGTGCCATCAAAGATGTACTTCCTTTACCTGGAAGTCCAGACTCTTCGGGAGTAGATGCTTTAAAAGGATTGCTCATTCTCCGTATTTATAAAACCCCTGTTGCTGTAGACCTGCTGCTAGGGCCATATGTACATGTGTCCATTGTGGCTGGGCTCCCTAAGATCCGTTCATTTCTGCCTTGTGTCCAGTTGCGATTTAGTGTGATGGTCTCCACTTACTGAAAGGTTTCTTTGATGAGTGGTGGTAGCTTCACTTAATCTGTGGGTATAAGATTTAGAATGCAGTAAGGACCTATGCCAGTCTAGCAAAGTGGCGGGAGCATATTCTTCTAGTAATAGCCAGGCATGGTGGCATCCCAGCAATTTTGGAGATTGAAAGCAGGAGGATCAGGAGTTCAAGGTCATCATCATCCTCAGCTACACAATGAGTTAGAGATCAGCCTACATGAAACTTGTTTTTTAGATTTGTTTGTTTGTTTGTTTGTTTGTTTTCAAGACAGGGTTGCTCTGTGTAGCCCTGGCTGTCTTGGAACTTGCTCAGTAGACCAGGCTGGCCTCAAACTCAGAGATCTGCCCGCCTTTGCCTCCTGAGTGCTGGGATTAAAGGTGTGCGCCACCACTGCCCGCCACCCACTGCTGCCACCACCAAACTTAATTTATTATTTACAAGTGTTTTGCCTGCATATATGTCTGTGTATCACAAGCATGCCTGGTACCCACAGAGGTCAGAAGAGGTCATCAGATCTCTTGGGACTGCAGTTAGATGGTTGTAAGATGCTATATGGATGCTAGGAACTGAACCTGGGGTCCTCTGCAAGAGCAGCCAGTACTCTTAACTGCTGAGCCAATTCTCCAGCCCATACATGAGACTCCTTTGAAAGATGTTTCACGGTGTCTATGTCTTCTTGTCTAGTATCTGGGATCACCCCCACATGCACACTTTTTTTCTTTAGGGGTAGTAATTCTGGACTCTGTTACATATTTGGGGTGTGTCTAGTAAATTTCTGCTCTTTGTCACTGTCCCTTCTACTTCATGTTCTCTTGATTATTTTCTACTATACTAATTCTCAGCCTCTCTCTCTTTGGGGTGACTCCTCACCCCTCTCTGTATACAACGGTGACTGTTCAGTTTCCACTCACGTTTATCCTCCATCTTCCATCCACCACCATCTGACATGGCTAGACTTGCTGGCACTGTTCTATACAACAATCCTTTCATCAGGAACACTTACACACGCATCACAGCTGTCATATCATGCTTTCTCTTGTGTTAACTTTTCCTTGCTCAGCTAGCTTCCATTGTTATGTTATAGTTATCAATACTTATCAATAATTGTGGTGTTCAGTGTCCAATGCTGAAGACTAAGCAAACATCCCCCATGCCTGGTGCCTTCTCTCTTTATTTTGGAACCTCAATCTCCTCCGTAAGCCTTCCTCCTTCTTGGCTTTACTCTCTCATTTGGAAGAATATCAAGTAATTTCCTAAACTTCTAGAGTTCCTAAGTCCTTCAGAGTGGCTTTTAATTGACCTGGAAATAACTTCCCTTCAAAAGTTTGAGTCAGAAGTCCCGTGGTCTCTCGTGCCGCTTGCTCATGGCACCTGGTGCGGCCACTGCCGACCCACACCAGCAGTTCTCCAGTCTGAGATCACAGCCATCTTCCTGACATTAACACCTGTGATCTGGAAAATGAAGCCTGGTTCTCAGGACCCTCTCTCACTTGGAGTCCTCTGGAAGGTGTCATTTCTGTGGCCACATACCGCACAGGTATCTGAGGTCTTTCCATTGGAGCTGAGGTGACTTTTCAGAGAAGGCTCTTGCTGCTGCACTTTCTGAAGAGCATTACGGAGCTGCAAGCCCTGCAGACTGAAGGGGGTTCAGGTGCCAGGCGTGTGGTGGGCAGGGGCTACCTGCTTCTTAGGAGGCTGGTGGCCAGTGCTCCTGTTTCACCTGCCCCTCAAACACTTCGGAGGCACCAGAACTGTCAGTTCCAGAACCCCAGGAGCTCAGATTCTCTATGTTCCCTTGTCTCTGTCACAGTATTGTATTCTCAGGCTGTTCTGAGTTATCATTCATCCATATTCTTGAAAGGAATCCATTTCTGTCACGTCAAGGGGATTAGGAAGAAGGAATGGTAAATAGCCACACTGAATCACACAAGGGATTGGATTATGCAGCTTTCACTGGTGTGAATCAAAGCATCCAGCCTCCAAACTAAACAGTAGCCTTGTGAGGCCAGGTACAGTGGTGCACACCTGTGATCCCGGCAGGAGATCAGGAGTTCAAAGTAATCCCTGGCTACATGAGACCCTGTCTCATAAAAATAGTTCCACATGGAAGATGGAGATGGATGGACAATTCATCCACCCATCCATGACAGGCAGCCTCTGCTGCACAAACAGCTGGAGGAAGGTGGAGAGGGACTAGGGATACCTTGTTCCCTTTCAGTAGTTGATCAGGTGTTAGGGAATGGAGACAACCTCTGAAAGAGAAGACACAGAGGGCACGCCAGGGAGCCAGACACTCAAGATGAAGAAATACCTTTATTCAGCTCATTCTCTCCAGCTTATCCCAAATTGCACATCTTTACCATCAAACAGGCAAAATAAGTCATATATAACATGGGACAGAAAATGGCAGTGTCCACCATGCCCCCACAGCACAGGACGCTGTACAATGTTACTGGCTGGAAAGCTGTGAGATGCAACCTCTTCCGTCCAGGAACTAGGCCCCCAGGTCAAACAGGGTGTTAGGTGTTTAATCCTGGCAACACCATGGGTTCCTCTGCAGCCCCAACCAAGATCTCCTGAACAGCTGTAAGCTCCTGCGTCAGTGCCTCCTCTGCAGTCCCAGGAAACTGCAGGAGTCAGTCCTTTCTACTCCAACTGTGCACACAACTGCACACGGGGGCCGGTAACACGACTCAGGATAAAGGCACTTTCCACCATGTGACTCTCTGGGTTCAATGCCTGGAACCCACATGGTACAAGGAGAGAACCACTTCCCTAAGTTGTCCTTTGACCTCCACATCCACACCACAGCTTACACAGGAGTGCGTGCACACACAAACATACACATCACACACAATGACTGACTGACTGATTGAATGACTGAATGACTGAATGAATGAATGAATGAATGTAAATAAAAGACTGCACGTGGAAGAAGCTTCTACCCAATGAGACACAGGCCACAAAATTAAGGCATTTTGGAAGGAAATCAGAGAGCAATAAAGCATTTATTATAACAATGTATCAAAAATGTCATTGTACTTTGGAAAGCTCTTAACTAGGCACAAGGGCAAAAACAATCTGTCCTGGCCACTGCAAACAAGCTCACACTCACCCCCACTAGGGAAGGGAGGGTGAAAGTATGTCTGCAGCACAAGCACACAGAGCCCAGCGCAGACGCTGCACACGCCAACACCAGCAGCAGCAGCGGAAGCCGGGCAGACACTGCAGGGGGAGCAGGGCTGGCTGCACGGACAAGAAAGCTCTGTTCTCACAGGCCCAGCTCAAGTCAGATTTGCAAGCATCCTCCCATTACTCGGTTTATCTAAGAAACCAAGAGGCTGAAGACGCCGCTCAGTGGTAGAGTGCTCGCCTCACATGCACAGGATCCGGGTGCATTCCTGACACTGAGTGTCAGGCACAGAAATTCCCCTGGACCCTCCTCACTTCATCATCCTCTGTCAGGGTAGAGCATATACCAAATGCTCCACAAATCACCCACTACTTTACTGCACACAAGGGGTGTGGGAAGGAGAGCAGTGAGGTGGAAATGAGCAAGGGCAAGAAAGGAGCTCCCACACCAAGAGGCACTTCCAGGAATCACTGTGATGAAGGAAAGTCGTTAGACCCCTCAGGCCGGGATTAGCCACCAAGTGCCCAGTGGGCAGGCAGTAATGGCTCTTCTAGCATCCTTGGTGCCACTGGTTCCCAAGGCCTGAGTAGGGGACAAGCACTCCTCACCAAAAAGGTCACACTGACTTCCTATGGGTGGCCTCGTGAATTTGGGGTGGTAGAGGTCCATCAAAAGCATGTCCAGACTTCTCAGGCCATTCGCAGTGATCCTCGAGATCACTTGGACCCCAGGCAGTGGGAAAGCTGTAATGCCTTTCACCTCCATGAGGCAGGCTATTTAAGATCCCAAATTTCTCATTAGTTTGTAACATCCACTACCGCCCGATTATGCCAGGATTTCAGCAACAAGCAAACTTGGAAAAAACAAAAACAAAGACAAAAACCTTCTGTGGATTGCAATCAAGAGTGATTTAAATGCAAAGACCTAGCCTGCACCATCACCTTCAAGCAGACATTCCATTATTTGTCAGGAAGAGCATGAAGGCAGACTAAAGACAGTCCAGTCAGCTAAGGAAATGTGATTTCCTCGAGTGTTACATGCTGTCCTTATCCTTCCCCCTGCACAGCTCTCCTCGGATGAGCTGTGGGCCTCACCAGAGGTCAGCCCTGCATCTCCAGACCTCCGGCCCCCACAGTAAGTGCACTTCCACGAGGTCGTTCCCGAGTGACAGAGCCCGCTCCCAAAGTCCTCGCCTGTGTCAGCTTTCACAGGACCTCACCAGAGTCCACTGAATGGCACAGCGGGAAGGTCCTCCTGTCTGCAGTGGGGCCTGCACAGCCCCAAGAACTGGCTGGGGTGGGGCGGGGCGGGGCGGGGCGGGGCAGCTCTCAGGCATGTTTTTCTCTGCTCAGAACCATACTCATTACTTTTTCTTTCAGAAAAAATTTTACATTGAAAAATCATGCACAAAAGAGCAGAGGGAAAACTCTGAAACTGATGGTCCTTAAGCCCAATAACAGAAATGGTCAACATTTGAAAATTGCTAATTACTTACCTAACAAGTATTTTCGCCTAAATTTACCTAATATCAAAACAAAACAAGAGGAGGCTGGAGAGATGAATCAAAGGTTAAGAGCACTGGCTGCTCTTCCAGAGGTCCTGAGTTCAATCCCCAGCAACCACATGGTGGCTCACAACTATCTATAATGAGATCTGGTGCCCTCTTCTGGTGTGCAGACAAAACACTGTATACATAATAAATAAATAAATATAAAAAAAAAGAATCTCCACCTTAAGCCCTTTTATGGAAGAATATGAATAAATAAATAAGTAAATAAATAAGTAAATAAATAAATAAATAAATTGAGCAAGCAAGCAAATATCACAAGTAAAATAGCTACAAAATGTATGACAATGGTAGATTTCTGGAAAAATGTCTAAAAGCACACCAAATTCTGAGGCATCAGTACTAGCTAAACTCCAGCCTGCCTGGCCAACTCAAGGCACAAGCCTCTGTTTAAATCAAGAGGCTGCCCCAGGAACAGCAACCATCACACAGACGCCCCTCAGATGAGCAGGGACAGCCGTCAGGCTCCTTCCCTCTGGGCCACTGAGCTCCTCTGCCAGGGCTGGCTCAACCAGAAGGCAGCAGTTTCATCAGGTCTGCCACATTTGCATGCTGGGAGGACACAGGTACCCAGCGCTCAAGCCTGCCGAGTAAAGCTGCAGTCCTCTCCAAGGCCACATCAACTTCCCATGGTGCCTGCCTCTCATGAACCGGAGCTGCTCACGGCAATGGTGCTGCTCTTTCCCACCGTCCCTCATCCTTGATAACCACCAAACGTGGTGCTTTCACAGAGATACTGGAAACAAGGAAGAACGTCCTCAGTCAGCACCAATGCCGTTTCACATTCAGGTTCACCAACTGGAAGTTTTGAACAAGCAGCAGAACCTCACAGTGCTGAGATTCTAAAAAACCTAGCACAGGGGAAGCGACTCAAAGCCCAGTGAAGAGCTGAGGCCTGGGCCACCTACAGAACAGCTAGGGGAAGGCTGGGGAGACGCAGGCTCTGGCCTAGCTCATTCTCCCCAGAGACAGTACTCACTGGCCAGGGCTGGGCAAGGCCCACTAGAACTCCATGTAGTGCATTTGGATCAGCTTGGTGCTGCTGCTGCTGCTGCTGCTGCTGCTGCTGCTGCTGCTGCTGCTGCTGCTGCTGCTGCTGCACAGGGCCATTCTGAGACACTAGGACAGGGTTTGGAAATCCATCCACAAAATACGATGACCATCACTGCCCATCTGGTCAGCTAAACCACATGATGGTACAACAGTAAAGTAGTATCATTACAAGTTAGATTTCTTTTATGGCCAAAATCTAAACAGATTTAACATCTGCTTGTACCTAAATATTCTTAAGTCTACAATCAGCACAGATCCATACAACAGTCCTAAGAGGCTCAAAATGACAAAATACAACTTTACCAAAACAGGAGCAACCTGAGGATGCTTAAAGTAATGCATAGTTCCTGACCCACCTGCACATGACCCTCACACCTGCAACAAGCTCATCTCTCTCACTCACCAACAACTCTGGGCAAGACGAGGAAAGATCTCTAGGAGTGCCCACAAGGCACTGGACCAGAAAGAGGGAGGAACAGCCTGGGGGGCCAAACAGCTGGAGCCTGGAGCCACCCAGGTGGCCGATACAGTTCCCACTTTCTGTATGGGAGGGTCTGCATGGAGCACCCCAGTGTCATGTCATCCTGTGAGGACTGGCAGTGAGTGCTATTGGGATGATCCCTGGTCTGAATGTGGGCAGTCACTTCCCAGCTAGTCCCAGGTGGGCCTCCTAAAGGGAATCCCAGTCTGAAGATCCCCAGGGTGACATCCATCAGAAAACCCTTCCAGGACAGGTGCTACACTGCAGAGGCTGTGCTGGGACCTCCCTGGAGGCAGTGTCTGCAGCCAAGAAACCATCTTGGAGTGAAGACACTCCTGAGAGGGTGTGGCAGCGGCAAGAAGGGCTATGCATCTGACAGCACAGACAGACAAACGCGGCAGGAAAACAGACTAGCAAGTGCAGGAACTGCATCTCTGCTCCCTACATGTTTTCTTACCACAACTCTTCTTGTTTGGATATCAGACCTTAAGAGAACAATCAAACTGCAAAGTAGGAACATAAATAGAAGCATAACTCTGGAAAAGACAACCTTTCCCCACTAGGGCTACCACGAGGCTTGCAAGCTCACCCCATACTGCACACATTGCACAGCCCATTTCATTAACATATAACAGTACAAATCCAAAACAGAGATACTGAAGAACAAAATTAAGTGTGTATGCGCCTCTCCGTTGACGATGACTCAAGGAGTGTTCGGTGGCCCAAGCACCTGAGACGGAACCACAATCCAACGTTTCATCTTCACGGACAGCCAGGGAAGAAGCCGGCAGCGCAGGACCCAGTTCACAGGACGCGGGAGTCTGTGTCAACTTCACCGCAATGATGGGCGTCCTCACTGCAGCCGACACTGCATCTGAATCCTACTCATAAAGCAGAAACTTCTTTATAGGGTCCGGCAGCGGCAGCGAGGGAACCAGATGCAGTCGGTATTTGCCAAGAGCTCTTCGCACGGCCACACGGCACAAACTCAGCAAGGTCCTGGGAACACCTGGAGAGTGCGAAGGGAAAGGTTGATTCTAGCCTAGTTCCAAAGGCCCAAAGCTGACCACAGTGGACACAACTTCCTAATCTCAGAGCCAAGGAGGCTCCGGAGGCAAGGAGGCCTTGCTGTCTGTTCCATCTAACCTGCCCACAGGAGAGCCCACAGATGAGAGCAAATGACCTTCACTCTTGCTCTGTCCCAGCAGGGGCAAGGAGCCCTGGGACACCAAGTGTGCAGGACTTGAAACCAGAGACTAGGCTGACAGTCCTGCTCCAGTTCAGAGACACAGCCAAGCCCTGCTTCAGGAAGAGAAGGGGACAATAAAAGCTGTGGACACAGCAGCTTCATTCCTTCAGTCTGCTTCCCACCCGGCCGTCAGCCCGCAACTTGGAGAAAGGCTGACCAAGAACACGTTTCCGTGAACTGGCATGGGTACTGACGACAAAAACACACTGATATCAACGTTCTTCGGGAAATAAGAGAGTGAGGACAAGCCCTTCAGCTGTCCTCTGACAAGACGGCAGGAAATGGACAGACACACGGGTTGATTTCTGAATTCCAGAGAGGGCACTGACAGCAAATGCAAGCACAGGTAAAGTTCAAACTCTCCTGACACTGACTTAGCAATTCCTTGGCAAATCCCACTACACAAATAAGCAAACTCCAGATTTCATTTTAACAAAAACGGATTACCACACAATTCACTCTAAGGCTATTTGAGTGGAACTAAAAAAGAAAGGGCTCTAGAAAATGAGTTTATAACTTCATTAAAACACACATGAAGAGGGGCTAGAGGGATGGCTCAGTGGTTAAGAGCACTGGCTCTCTTCCAGAGGACCGGAGTTCAATTCCCAGCACCCACATGGTGGCTCACAACCATCTGTAATGAGATCTAGCGCCCTCTTCTGGTGTGCAGGCATACAGGCAGGCAGAACACTGTTTACATAATAAATAAAGAAATCTTAAAAAGAGAAAAACACAGGTGAAGAGAAAGACGGGTAAGAAGGGCAGAGAAGGCAAATGTGGCTGATTCCTGCTGAGCTACTCCCGGCCTGGCGACAACTGACAGACAAAGATGAGGAAGAAAGAAACATAATGACCCATGAATGAAAACATCGTGATAGGCCAACCAGATGGCTCAGAGGGAAGAATGCTACTTCCACGCTTATCAACCCGTGGGATCCATGTGGCAGAAAGAAAGAATAGACTCCTGTAAGTTGTCCTCTGCCTTCTACACGCATGCAATGGCATGTGCATGCTTCTCTCACACACATATAAATAGATATATTAAAAATATTTTTAAAGAAAATGACATGAAACCCATCACTTAGTACAATGATCTAAGAAATTAAGGGGAAAAAAAATAAAAAGGAAAAAAATGTGAAAAAGAAACCATTAGCTAGGGATGGGGTCAAAAATCAGAGCAAAAAAGTTAGAGAATATAATTCTAAGAACTTTGAAAGCATACATCTACTTCTATAGATCTTTGGTTATCAGCTTTAGGGGTTTAGGAATGTCAAAATAACCACCTGGGGCTGGAGAGAGTTAAAGGTAAAGTACTTGCCGTGATAGCACAGGGACTCACCCTCCCAAAGAAATGGGGAGGAGTGGCCCACACTGTAATCCCAGCCCTGGGGAGGGAGGGAGGAGGGAGGAGGGAGGAGGGAGGAGGAACGAGGGAGGAGGGCGAAACACCCAAGGCTGTCTTCTGGAGAACTACTGGTCCCTATCAAGGGCTCTAATCAAGTGCTTGGCTGGAATTCTTTTTGGAGGGTTGTTGTTTTGTATTTAAGAGTTACTTATTTATTCCCATGTGTACAGGGGTTTGCATGCATGTATGTCTGGTCACCACACATGCAGTGCCCACAGAAGCCAGGAGGGCCTCCTCCAACTGGAGCCATGGACAGTTGTGGGCAGCCAGTGCTCTCACCATCTGAGCCGTTCCTCCAGGCCCTGTTTTTGTTTTAGTTACTATTACATCTCACTGGTTCAATCAACTCCAGACCACAGGAGAGCGCTGAGCTCAGGCCACTTACTTCTGGCCTCTTTAAAGACTTGCAGAGCCTCAGGGTCCATCTTCCTCCTGCCTCTTGCCTCTGGGCCCAGAGATTCCCACTTCACCAGGTTCAGGTTGGCTCCAAACTCTACCAGCAGGCTCACGAAGGCCGCCTCACAACCATGGCGCAGGACAGCATCCATGACACACCCGGGGGAGCCCCTGTAGAATTCCTGTGTGTTGACAGGGCCATTGCAATTGAAGTCAGGATTTGCCCCAGCCTGCAGGAGGAGCCGGAAGCACTGAAGGTTATGGTAGGCAGCACTGATGTACAGAGGGCAGACCACCAGGGAGGTAAGCCGCCTTGAGAAAGGGGGCCGGGTGTCAGGAGTCAGGTGATGGTTGACATCAACATCCGCCCCATACCTACAGGAAGAGAAAAATAAGTCATAATAAGTCAAACTCAGACCACAAAGAATGTCCAGCACCCCAAGGAAGGCATTCAACAGTCACATGGGGAGCCTCTAGAGACTGCACAGGTCACAAACACTGCCAGCCCTCTCTATCTGCAGGCACTGTACCCAAAGACTCAACTAACTACAAGTCAAAAATACTGAGGGAAAAACTCAGCCTATAGTGAACATGCACAGTCACTTTCCTGTCCTTACTGCCTAGACAATAGATTCCAGCAGTTACACACACCTACAGAAGAGTTGTATTTTAAGTTGTCTGTGTGCCGAGACTACATGCAGAAGTACCAAGATCTCAGAGCTTGGTATTAAGAAGGATAGGAAACTAAGGGAAGTCTTTCAGATCTTTAAAAATAAAGATCTGAAGAGGTAAGAGAAGAAAAACTTTCAAATGCATTGTAAAACTAATACAATAACCCAACTCAATTTCAAAATCTTCAATAAGCAAAAAATTATAACAAAGAAAATCCGAACATATATTTAGAAAGCAGTGTACCAAAAACTCATAGGGATTACCCTAAGAATTCAAAACTAATTCCAATATTAGAAATTCCATTATCATAATATTATAATATATTGTATTAAT